TTTTATTATTAATTTCAGAGAGGAAGGGAGAGGGAGAGAGAGATAGAAACATCAATGATGAGAGAGAAGCACTGATCAGCTGCCTCCTGCACGCCCCACACTGGGGATCAAGCCCACAACCCGGGCATGTGCCCTTACTGGGAATCAAACCATGACCTTCTGGTTCATAGGCCGATGCTCACCCACTGAGCCACGCCGGCCGGGCTGAATGCCATTCGTCATGGTGAAGAAACCCCATTCATGGGACACAGTGTCTTTGTGGCACAGATTTTAATGAAGAGTTAGTTACTGGCAAAGACGGGCCTTTCAAACTCAGCAATGCCAACAACGGGCAGCCACCAATTTGCTCTCTGATTCTATGAGTTTGTTTCTGTTTTGTTTGTTCATTTATTTTATTTTTTTTGGATTGCATACAGAAATGAAATCATATGGATTTTGTCTTCAAAGAGAAGTATTTTAAAAATATATGTATTTTTATTGTTGATAGTATTACAGATATCTCCCATCCCCCTCCTTTACCTCCCTCCTCCCAGCCCCTACACACACACCCCAGGTCTTCACTACCCTATTGCCCATGTCCATGGGCTATGCATGTAAGTATATAAGTTCTCTGGTTTATCTCTTCTCACATCCTCAACCCCGCATCAAGGTATGTCAGTCTGTTCCATGCCGCCATGCTTTGGGTCTTATTTGGTTGGTTAATTCATTTTGTTCCTTACATGCCACAAATAAATGAGATCGTGTGGTATTTGTTTTTCTCTGACTGGCTTATTTCACTTAGCATAGTACTCTCTGGGTTCATACATACCGTCCCAAAGGGTAAGAAATCCCTCTCGTTTACAGCTGCATAGATTCCATAGTATAAATGTCCCATAGCTTTTTTATCCACTCATCTGCTGATGAGCACTTGGGCTGTTTCCAAATCTTAGCTGGTGTAAATAACACTGCTATGAACGTAGGGTAGCATATATTCTTTCCAATTGGTGTTTTGGGGTTTTTAGGATATATCCTCAGAAGTGGGATCACTGGGTCAAACGGAAGTTCTATTTTTAATTCTTTGAGGAAACTCCATACTGTTTTCCATTCCCACCAGCAGGGAACTAGTGTTCCCTTTTCTCCACATCCTCCCAGCACTTGCTGTTTGTTGATTTGTTGATGATGGCCTTTCTGACAGGTGTGAGATGGTATCTCATTGTGGTTTTAATTTGCATCTTTCTGAAGACTAGTGACATTGAGCCTCTTTCGTATGTCTCTTGGCCATTTGTATGTCCTCTTTGGAGAAGTGTCTATTCAGATCCTTTGCCCATTTTTAAATTGTTTGTCTTCCTTTTGTCGAGTTGTATGAGTGTGGCGAGGCGGCAAGGCCATGGCATACTCAGCCCCACGTTGGGCGCCATACGTGCGGAGCCAACTCAGCCAGGTTCAGTGAGCCTGAGAGGGGGCGGTGAAGGATTGAGAAAAGACAGAAAAGAGAAAAAAGCTGGGTCTGGGCGGGATGCTGTCCTCTCTGATGGAGAGCTAGCAACAGTGCCACAGCCTTCAAGCCATCTCTTTATTTTATAGCCAGATTCCACGAGGCAAAGTAAGTGCGTGGTTACAACGTTCTTAGGGGTTTCGAATCTACTCAGTTATATGCACCTGATCAAGCTTTGTTTACTTGCTGCACCTCCCGCAGCCCATATCACTCAGCCACGTGGGACCACAGATTCGGACCATAGGTTCAAACTTACAATTATAGCCTTTGGCTTTGCCCGCCAAGCTGGGACTGTGCCCTCTCATTAGTCTGAGGCTTGAACCTGTCCAAACACTGTAGCCACTCTCCACATATGAGTACTTTATATGTTTTGGAGATTAACCCCTTATCAGATGCAGCATTGGCAAATATGTTCTCCCATGCAGTGCAAAGACAAACATTAAAACAAGAGATGTACCTGGTTCCTATCACTTAGGAAATTTCCAGGGTTTTAGGAGCTCTGTGCCAGGAACCAAGGTAGAGACCAACATATGTATTTTCTATTATCTCACAAATTGTCTATTAACGGCAGACAGGACGGACAGATTAATCACTAAGATAATTTTTTGAAAACTTCCGAGCCAAGAGTTTCAATCTCCTTTTCTTCATGACATCTGTTAGTCAGCTGCCATCCTGAACCGATTTGAGTTCCATCAACTCTCTTTGCTAGCGAGGCGGTCGTTGAGGGAGAGGAGGATGGGAGTTGGCGGGGCATGAAAAATTCATGGCTGGGGGACGCAAGGCCCTGCAAAGGAAGGATTAATTGTCATGGCCTGTAGAATTTGATATGTTAATAACCGGTCTCGTTCAAAAGAGCTTAGTTGAACACTTACTGAAAGAGCTTAGAGGCAACACTTACTTCAAAACTTTGGGGGTGGGGAAGTGAGAGTGAACTGTAGCTGTGTGTTGAGATCAGGGTGAATAAATGCATCAGGAGAGGCTGGACTGCAGTTTTCCCAAAGGGTGGACAGGTGGGGAAGAAATCAAGTGACAGGGGCCTGGAGTCCTCATCCCATTTGCCTCTCTCCTAAATGAAGCTCACTGTTGAGAAAGAGGGTCAAGAAAATCAGATCTCAGCCAGTATGCCACGCACTGTGCCAGGTGCTGGGGCTTCGAAGCGAAATTCAGCTAAGTCCTCGTGCTAGAGAAGCCTCGGTTTTTCCTGAAATGGAATGTGGTGGTTGGGGTGGGGTGGGCATGGAGCCCTCCCATCTCTTGGCGCCTTGGGAAAATGACCGCTGGGATCCAGAGGCCCCCCCACCCCCCTTGCTGGAGGAAGTCATTCCACTCTGTAGAGGTTGGTAAGCTAAGAGTCATCATGGCAACAGATTAAAGGAAGTTGGGGCTGGGTGTGTGGGCCCAGCTGTGCGCACACTGTCCCCTCCTCTGCCTGACTTCTAACCCGATGACTCCTTGCTTATTGCAGAGACAATTTTCCAGGAAATGGGATTTGGCTGCCGAAGAAGGAGCAGAAGAAAGGGAGCTGCCGGGAAGGGGGCAGACAGTAGAGGTCCTACAGATTCAGGTAGAAAAATGAGCTAAAAGCATAACACTTTTTGGACCCTCATCGCATCCTGGCGTTACCACTGTCTCAGCTGATTCTCACGATAACGCCGTGTGGCTGGCAGTCCTCATGCCCCATAACAGAGGGGCGGAAACCGAGGCTCGATGGGCTGCATCAACTGCCCACGGAGACAGCAGAGTTGAGGTGAGAACCCAGGTGCGTCTGATTCCCGTGCCTGTGCTCTCCATGCCGAGCGGCAGGGTCCTGAGCCGCAGTGGCCGGGGACCAGGGGGGTGCGGAGGGGGTGACTGGGATGCAGATGCCCAGTGCAGCTCCAGACCTGCTGAGTGAGCCCTGGGGGTGGCACCTGGGAATCAGAACATGAAGGCACCTTGGAGTGCCTGGTCGGAGTGAGGCCCAGAGAGGGGAAGTGAGCTGCCCAGGCCCCAGGGCTGAGAGGACCAGGAGGTGAGGAGAGGGTGTGCACAGGCCACCAGACAGGACGCGAGGGCCAGCCACTGCAAGCTGCCCTTCATGTGTGATGGCAGGCTCCATGGAACCTGTGCTCCGGGGAAGAAAAGGAGAGAGGGAGACAGAGCTTTAACCAGGGCTTATTCTATTTCTTCCCAGCATGTTTGCCTGCAAGGCCAACCCACTTCCCAGCCCGGTCACCAGGGTAACCATCACCCCCACCCCGACAGGCAAGTGTGCCCAGCTCCTTGCACCCGCGGCCTCGGGGACCCAGCCCTATAATCAGCCTCCCGCTGCCTCTGCACAGGCAGGAGACAGGCAGATCCTCCCCCTCACTGGGCCCCTTGACCCCCCACGGTTCTGCAGACACCCCCTCCCCACGCGCACACACGTGCTTGCTTCCCTCGCCCACTGCCTCCCAGGAGACAAAGGTACAATCTGCTATATCAGCACCCCTGGGGGTGGAATCTGCCCTCGAGGTGGGGCACAGGCCGACACACAGCCCCCACAGGAGAAAAGAACCCCCGCCCGGAGGAGGGGCCTGGCAGTGAAGTCCTTTGTTCCTCCAGAGGCACTGAGGGGGCGGCTGGAGTTGAGGAAGTTTGCAAAGTGACATCAGAAGAGGGGCTGAGGCTGCCAGCCCAAGGACCCCCGGAAGGCGGCGCCCCCTCAGCACAGGCCAGGAGGCTGGGTGCCCTCCTCCCGGCCCCACCAGAACAGTTACACCAGGCCAGGCTGCGGGCCACGGAGTCCCCGTCAGGACTTCAGAAAAGCAATCCCATCCAGCAGGGCAGGCCCCGTGCTGGGCTGAGCTCCTTCCCCAGCGCTGGAGCCCATCGCTTCCCGCCTGCTCTCTCCTGACCCCAGTCCAGACACTGTGGCCTCTCCTTCCTCACCTAGGGCTGCTCTCGCCCCCACCGCCCCCTCCTCAGTCCTGGACACAGTCTAGGCTGTCAGATGCTCTGGGTCCCACCTGTCTCCCAGGCTCTGAGCCACTGACTTGCTCACCCTCCTCTCTCTGTCCCTGCAGCCTTCCTCCCCAGGGGCTGGATCTGGCTTCTCCGGAGACCAAGTGCAGGCGGTTAACTCCCCAAGGGGCCAACTTTGACCCTGGCTGGAGGAGCCTTCCCAGCCCCCTTCCCACAGAGGGGAGTTCTGCCTGGCGTCTGCGCAGCCTGCCTGCTGTCTGGAGGCGTCCTGGGCACCGGGCTGGGCCTCTGTGTGAATGGGGGGGAGGGACGGATGGCATGGCAGCCGGTGCCTGTGCTGGTGCGTGTGGATTTGCTGCCCATCCTGCCCGCCGGCCTGCTCTCTGGCTGCCTGGGTCACACCTGGAAGGAGGGGTTAGCACTGAAGCTTTGCCCCAGATTGTTTTCTAGAGCATCTGGGCCGAGTCAGCATCTGGAATCCAATAGAGCAGAATTCCGCTCCCACGTTACCTCGCCGGATTCCCTCGTTTGACAGAGCAGCTGAGGCCCAAAGAGATTTAGTGGTTCCCCAAGTTTACAGCTAGTTAGTGGGGAAGCTATGCCTATTCATTACTTTAACGAATAATTAACGAGCACCTACCGTGTGTGTACAGGCATTATTTTAGTCATTGGAAATACATCTGTTATCTCATTTAGTTCTTACAACAAGACTTTGTGCTAGGTAAGTACGGCTTTTATTCCTCAGAGATGAGTGAAGGGAGGGACAGAGTGGTGCGTACCTTCCTTGCCCACAGTAGGAAGTAGCAGAACCAGGATTCAAACTCAGGTAGTTAGGCGCCGACGTCCATGTGCTCAGTAACCACGCTCTTGTTGAACGAGCCCATGAAGTGAATACATTTAGCTTTCCTCAGCTGTGTGCTGCAGCCCGTGTCACACCACCTCTCAGAGCGCAGGTCCTTTACCTGTCAGCTTGGATGGCCGCGCATGTCTGCCACGCGTCACAGGGCTGCTCCTAGGGCACAGCGAGCCAAGTCCCAAGAAAGCAGTTCAGATAAGGAACACAGGCGCCAGCAGCTGTTCCACTGCGTGTTCCTGGCAGAGTCAGGACTGGGACTCGGGTTTCCTGGCAGCCAGGCGAGGGTGGGCTATAGGCGAGGTGGGCTATAGGCGAGGGTGGGCTATAGGCGAGGGTGGGCTATAGGCGAGGTGGGCTATAGGCGAGGTGGGCTATAGGCGAGGGTGGGCTATAGGCGAGGTGGGCTATAGGCGAGGGTGGGCTATAGGCGAGGTGGGCTATAGGCGAGGGTGGGCTATAGGCGAGGTGGGCTATAGGCGAGGGTGGGCTATAGGCGAGGTGGGCTATAGGCGAGGGTGGGCTATAGGCGAGGTGGGCTATAGGCGAGGGTGGGCTATAGGCGAGGTGGGCTATAGGCGAGGGTGGGCTATAGGCGAGGTGGGCTATAGGCGAGGGTGGGCTATAGGCGAGGTGGGCTATAGGCGAGGGTGGGCTATAGGCGAGGTGGGCTATAGGCGAGGGTGGGCTATAGGCGAGGTGGGCTATAGGCGAGGGTGGGCTATAGGCGAGGTGGGCTATAGGCGAGGGTGGGCTATAGGCGAGGTGGGCTATAGGCGAGGGTGGGCTATAGGCGAGGTGGGCTATAGGCGAGGGTGGGCTATAGGCGAGGTGGGCTATAGGCGAGGGTGGGCTATAGGCGAGGTGGGCTATAGGCGAGGGTGGGCTATAGGCGAGGTGGGCTATAGGCGAGGGTGGGCTATAGGCGAGGTGGGCTATAGGCGAGGGTGGGCTATAGGCGAGGTGGGCTATAGGCGAGGGTGGGCTATAGGCGAGGTGGGCTATAGGCGAGGGTGGGCTATAGGCGAGGTGGGCTATAGGCGAGGGTGGGCTATAGGCGAGGTGGGCTATAGGCGAGGGTGGGCTGGCGCCCCACCGAGACCCAGCTTTCATTCTCTTGTTTGTCTTTTCTCAATCCTTTCACCCCCCCACTCAGGGTCACTGAACCAGGCTGAGCTGGCATGGCACATAAGGCGCCCTAGGGCTGAGTATGCCATGGCCGTGCCGGCTCCCCACAGACGGTAGCAGTCACAGATTCCAGCCATCAGTGGAACATTCTCCTTCATCCGCCTGCTGCCCTGGAACAGCCAACATGAAAGCTACGTCTTGGTGATTCAATCACTCATCATTAAGAATGCCATCGGACCTCAGATGATGCTGTTACAAAATCCAAATATGAGAAAATACTTCTTAGCTGAAACAGGGTGAAGTCTGCAAATATTATTCAGTACCAGTTACAAATCAAGGGGGAAAGGAGGAGAATTTCAGAAATGGACAGAAAAGGGAGGCTGCAAGGTGTTTGCTAAGGACCCCGCCCCCTTTGCCTCTTCTCTGATCTCATCAGGATATACCACTTTCTGCTCCCCCTCCCTGCTCAGTGGAAGAAGGATCAGGAAAACCTGAATTTCAGATTTGGGGTAACCACTCACTGCTTTTTTGCTTTGAACTTCAGAGGCAATACTGGGAAAAGAAAAAGAGCAAAGAGTGGGAGGACCCACTCTGCCAGGAATTAGGGTGCATGAGGCACAGCTATAGCAGTAAGACCAGCGCGGCACTGGTGCAAGAACAGGACTAGGTCAACAGAACAGCAACGAGAACTCAGAAACAGACACAGGTGTCTGTGGAGACGTGGCATCTAATCCAGACACCATCACACATCGGTGGGAAAGAGATGGATTGCTTGGCAGGCATTGCTGGGAAAACTGGCTCCTTGGTGAAAATAATATCGCATTCCTACTGGGATGAATTCAGACCTAACTGTGAGAGTTAAAGGTATGGAGTTAAATAGGAGAATATTTTGTGACTGTGGGTAGAAAAGATCTTAAACAAGACCCCAAAGCACATTTTGCAAAGCTAAAATCTGATGCATTTGGCTGCTCCAAAATTAAGTGTTTCCCCTATTCTGTAAGATAGCAAAAACCAAGCTCACAGGATGCATGGAAGGTTGGGGGATATTTGCAATGTCCAAACCTGACAAGGGATTCATATTTAGAACATTTAAGGACTTCTTCAATTCTTTAAAAAATATTATCTTTATTGTTGAAAGTATTACAGATGTCCCCTTTGTTCTTTTCCCATTGACCCCTTCCACCTCCCACCTGCCCCTCCCAGGCCTTCACCACACTATTGTCTGTGTCCGTGGGCAGAACTCCTTCAATTCGTTCAGAAAAAAATAGGAAATCTAGCAGAAAAAGAGGCAAAGAATGTCAATAGCTACTTCACAGAAGGAAAAAAATCTCAATGGTTCTTAAGTATCTATGGAAAAATAATTAACATCACGAATCATCAAAGAAATACAAATGGAAATTACATTGTGATATTACTCTACCAATAGCAGATTGATGTCAATTAGGACGTCGGATAATACCAAATGCTACTGTGCAGAGTAGGGAAACAGGAAACTTCCTACCTTCATGTGCCACTGGTGGGAGGGCCAAGTGACAGTCATTCTGGAGAGAGAGGTGCAGAGTGAAACTAAGCCCTTGTAGCCGCCATGACCCAGCAGTTCCACTTTCCTTGTGGTCCGTAAGCGACGCATCCCATCCTGGCATTGTGGTTAACAAGGAACTGCTGGCAACATAACTGCCCATTATTTGAGGGATTGATAAGTAAAATGTGTTAGATGCCCAAACCCAATGCCATCGGTGGTAGGAATTAATGATATATAATGATCTATGCAGCCGCAGGGATGGACCTCTAAAGCATTATGCTGAGGGAAAAACAAGAAACAGAGTGAGTTCTTGGCACAAGACCATTCGTGTATGTTAAAAATAGATACACAAACTAAAAACTTCAGGACATACACTTGTACTGGTACCTAAACATATGAAAGGGTGCACATGGGAGGTAGAGAAATGGGCGGGCGTGTGAGGAGGGAACGAGTGGAAAACAACAAAGTTAAAAAGAAGACAGAGAGGGGCCTTGCTGATCGTTAGGAGCTGATGAGTATCATCAACATAACTCGTCCCTGACGTCCAAAGAGTCGTCCCAGTCGCCCTGTCATCGTTTTCTATTCCTAATAGAATCGAAAGCGAGGACGCATGGTGGCTGCCCAGGGCAGGGCCTCTGGCATAACGGACCTGCCTCTCCCCACCCACCTGCCAAGCTCTGCTTCCCGGCTCGCCAACGTCTACTCCGGCTGCAAGTCCCACAACCCAAACATGCCCAGGCTTCGATCCGCAATGGCTTTTACTCTTATTATTTCTTTCTTTTGGGAAAGTCTTATCGATCGTTTAAGATTCAGTTTAAGTGCCTTCCCTCCAAGAGTCCTTTCCTGACCGCTGCCCTTTCCCAAATTCGAGCCCCTCCAGGACCTCACTCCCAGACGCCCCCTTCCCCATCATCCCCACACAAGTCGCGGTGCCCTGGCTTATTTGGGGGACACACCCCTCCCCCAGGGCTAGCGTTGAGCTGGGCTGGTCTCGGGGTCCACAGCCAGCCTGCGGGCATGGGTTGTCCCAGGAGTCCCTGGAAGTTACTGTCCAGCCCATTAAACGAGACCCCGCCCACTTCCCACCCCCTCTCCTTTGCTTCCCTCTCATTGGTTCAGCCTCTCCGCCCGTCGCCCGCCCCCAGACCGCCCCGCAACCCGCCCCCGCCGGTTGCGGCAAGTGGAAGGCT